AAAAAAAAAAAGAGAGAAATTTAAAAAGTCGAATGCAATAGAAAATCTTCAAAGTAGAAAACTAGAAGTATTAATGAATTTTATCGAGCAAGAGTTTTTGTGAAAAGAGTTTCGAGATTTAGAGACGTGGACGATTGAAAGTCTTGGCAAAGATCGAGACAATTTTCGAATGCATCGAAAAGAAAAGGCACGAAGAAAGTCCTCGAGATTTATTCGCTTTTAATTTCAAGCTGTAAAAATGAACGTCAAATGTTCTCTATGAAATAGAAGAAGACTGAAATTTCCTATTTCATCTACAGGATTCTCGAGATAAAGCGTGTAAATGTATTTGGCGCGCAATAGTCGGCTTAAGCATAATTTCGAGACGCCATTTACTTGATTCAATTTCCTGGACTAGAGCCGCTTAAAAATTAAACCACGAAACGACGACGTTATGATACACGCTCGCAATATGGTATTACACAAACATTTTAGCAATTATCTTGCATTTAAGGCCACAATTACGGTAAAACCACGCAACTCACATTTCGATCGTTTACGAAATGAAGTAATTCACGCACGGAATTCATAATTACAAATCATTCCGCTTCGTTTTATAATATTTCGTATCGAAATACATATCGGAATTAAAATTTTTATGTGATAATAGATGTCCTTTCTATACGACATCAATGTATATTCGAAACAACGTAAACAATCAGAAAATCAATGAAAATGTAGTTGTCACGTGTTTTCTTCTATCTCCTTTTTCAAATTTTAAAGTGGTAAATATTGCAAGTCCACAGCGTTCAAATAATAGAATTATTAACAAACAATGACGAAAATGTTGGCAAAATCAACAGATCGAAAATGTTCATTCGTGAAGTGCATTCGTTGCGTCACTCTCTCCGTTTGTGTCTCGATTACTCTTCTAATCTCGGCTTCTCGACTACTTCTCTAAAACTCTGTTTGAAAGCAACCTCTCAAATTAGCCGCGCGATAAAAACTTCGATTCAATCTGGACAGAATAATGGCAATTTCCCTCCTTCTTCTTCCAGGTACGGCGAGAAACAAAGGAAAGTGGACAGTCAAGAGCTCAGTGGTATACAATTGCTCTCAGCAACTGCGTATCAACTGAAGAAACCCTATCAGCAGCTCCTTATACCGATCACGATCTGGATCGGTATGGAACAGGCGTTCATCGGTGCAGATTTTACACAAGTGAGTAATTGAGGCTCTTGACAGATTATAATACGATCAAGGAATATTCCTCCAACGCGAAAATATCAATCTTTCCTCTATATATATATATATATATATATATATATATAGCAGCACTCTATATGTATATATATAACAGCACTTTTTTTTTTTTCTCGACCAATTTCGAATTATTTTTTTTTCCATGAAAAATATAGATATCCAAATTTTAAATGCATAGTGTCTTCATTTGGCATGTTGTTATCGACATAAATTTATTATTTTATTATATTCTGGTGGATATTATTATTTTATTATATTCTGGAGACAAAGGAGTACGAATCAAACTTTTACAGAAAAGTATTTATTTCTAACTACTTTCTACTTTTTAAGTATTTAGTAATTTATTCATTCTAATTGTTTGATTCTGGATGTGAAAGTTTGTAATATATCTTTCGTCTTATTAGGAGCTTGATTTAGAAATATTTATTGTGTATATATAAATATATGTTCTAAATAATAAGTATTATTAATATAATCATTAATATAACTATTATATATATATTTATTATTTAGAATACTCGGTTTAGAAATATTTTTCCTTTTCTTAGTTGACACATGTTGACCAAAATTTTGACCAATCATTAGAGCATATATATTATTTATTTTGTTCTTTTTATAATTTTCATCCGAACGAGTCTTAATACTATTTGTAGCTATTATCTTCTTCTCTGTATACAGAACATCATCGTTTAATTTATTTTTATAATGTTTGATACGGCCAGCTGATACGGACATCAGATTCTATATAAACTTTTTCTACTTCCTTTGCAACAATCCAAACTAACAATTACAAAGCGTTATATATTGGGAAAGAACAGACATTAAGGGGTTAATTAACGAGTTTCCAAGAGTTTGACAATATATTGTCCGACTTGGTTGCTTAACGACTCGAGGCAATTATTTACGACTCGCGAGGCAGAAGAACAATCGAGCAACAATGAGATTCGAATAACTTCACCCACGCTGCCAAGTAGAAAACTTGGTTTAACGAGACATCGATTACGTATTAACCAAACGTATTATGCATTCGAGAATGAGAATCTCTTCGTGGCGAAGGAACCGACGAAGAGACGATCTCGCGAAACGTGACCGATCATTTAAAAGTATAATAATATTGGTTAGAATAATGGCGTAACGCAGAATTATCCGGCCGATTATCCAAGAATTCTTCGTTGCTCGTTTCAGAAATTTTTATAAATTCAATATTCTCCAGTCTGCTACCGAAATGGCGGAAATAATTACAGTTTTTCTCATAGTAATTTCTTTTACAGTAAATTCACATGAAATTCAATTGACTTCTATTGGCTCATTAAGATCCAAGCAGCAATCTATCAACAGTATATGATGAACACTTGATGAAATTTCAGAAAATTGCAGACTCTAGGTGATGACATCTATCTGATGATGAAAAATATTAAAATATTAAAATATCAAGAAACAAAAAAACATGAATGAAAAGAATATGAAAAGTTCCGGTGTTAAGAAGTAAAACTTGATAATAGAAATTAATTGAAAAAAAAAATTTCAAAGAAGAATTGTTGCTTTAAGATAAAGTCTCTTTTAATGGATTCAATTATAAATGGCCATTTTCCCCTTTTGAATTGTATTTCTTCGATTCTATTATCCCAATTTATTATTTTTATAATTCACCGGTAGTTCCTAGTGTTTTTCACATTTCGTCGCATGACAATTACAATAAAAGATATATATGTACGTATAATACATATCCTTCTGCAAAAATATCAAACGAGGGATCACTGTTGAATCGACGAATAAATGGTACCGCGTTGAACGATGAAAATGCGCGCGGTGTAGAGAGGGGAAAAAAAAAAAGGAAAAAAAGAAACGCAGTAACAAAAGTGAGCAGTAAACTAAAATCGTTAATGATTATCCTCATCAGATGCAACACAAAAAGCTGGCTAGGATCACCCGGATACAAACCGGATACAGAACGGCAGGTTCGTGATGCGTAACGGCCATGCGAGGTCGTACAATTGTTCTCCGGAAATACATGCTACTGATCACAGATATGCTGAAATATCGGCTGAGGCACGCATCCTTTGGCTTTTAAAGCGCTGAATGACTTTAAATTATAAGTTGTATAATATTGGCTCTGCGTACAACTAAAGGAGAAGACGAGAACGAAGAGCCATATAACCATGCTGCTGCATGTAAATACAGGGATAACTGTCAATCGATTTTTTATTGACAATAAATTTCACGTGACGGCGTTAAAAAATTAATGGAATCTCAATAACTAAAAGCATCACTCGTTATACTTTTATGGAATCGATAAAGCACGTGTTTAAATCATTTATTAAACGTCTCTTGATAGCAATGCACAGCACTATATGTATTGTAAATATTAAGTCTGCTGTGTTCCGTGAATCATGTTTTTCTAGCGTTAGGAAATTTCTTCGTGGAAAGTGTGAAAGAATCTAAAAATTGAAAGAATCTTAAAAAAAAAACGAAAAAAAAGAAATACTGTTTTAAAACTATTTTTCTCTCGAGGTTTCTGAATGTATAATAAAATTCTGACATAGAATATTTGGGGATAAATCAATTTTCAAGTATTTATAATCTTTTCTATTCGAAGTAAGATCCAAGAAGTAAGATTAGAATGATCTCTTCGTATTTAAGAGATATCGTTAAGAAAAGTATAATTTTGTATTTATGTCTAAAAGATGGGATATTTAACGTTAGAAAAGAAACAAGTTAGAAGCTGGCGAGTTAAT